TCAATTCCAAATGTTTGTCTGGAAGAATTGAAGAAAAGGTCTATTAGAAAGGTTTACTTGTCTAATATTAAATTCAACGTCATTACAAACTTCTCGCAACTACGCTTGCATCATTATAAATTAACCATGAAACTCCAGGCTTCAGTTTACAGAACACGTAGAAATTCCCTTTCCTATCTCTACATTCCTCTGTTCATAATAATTTTCTCCATGGAGCTGCCACCCTTCCTTCTGTATGAGTGCTATTATTTTTCACCGTCTCTTTATCTCACCAGGCCACATCAGGACGGATACACACCAACTTCACAGATGTCGAATCCTTGTTATCTTTCAAAGCTCAGCTTGGCGATCCATATGGCGTGTTAGCCGCCAACTGGACCACCAACACCTCCTTCTGCAACTGGGTCGGAATCTCATGCAGTCATCGGCATGAACGAGTCACTGCCATAAGACTTCTACATCTTCCTCTTGATGGTACTATCTCTTCTCACCTTGGGAACCTCTCTTTCCTCTCAGTGCTCTTTCTTGGTAACTGCAGTCTTACAGGCCCCATCCCTCAAGTCCTTGGTCAGTTACCACGTCTAAAGACACTCAACCTCATATACAACATTCTCTCTGGTCCTGTTCCTGCCAGTATCTTCAATATGTCTTCGCTGATCACGTTATCTCTTAGTTATAATAATCTCATTGGCCCTCTTCCATCAAACAACAGCTTTTTCGCACTCCCTCGGCTTGAACTTATCTCTCTCTCATTTAATCAACTGACAGGTGAGATTCCATCTGCCTTTGCTGAATGCAGAGCTCTCCAAGGTTTTTCCTTGTCATCTAATGAGTTTACAGGAACTATACCTTCTGAACTGGGCCACTTGACAAATCTCACACTGCTATATCTTGGAACAAATCAATTGACTGGAACAATTCCAAACTCCTTGGGCAATCTCACAAAGCTCACCGCTCTTGATCTTGGCGAGAACTTGTTCGAAGGAGTAATTCCCAAGGAGCTTGGGTACCTACCAAATCTTGAATATCTAAATCTCGGTCCTAATAGGCTAACTGGTGCCATGCCCGACTCTCTTCTGAATGCTTCCACACTTACCTTTCTCCAACTTACTTTTAACAATTTAACGGGATCAATTCCTGTTAGAATCGGTGAGTCGTTGCCCTCACTTACCAGATTGCTCATTAATGCCAACCACTTCACTGGAGGACTCGACTTCATCACATCGCTTTCTAACTGGAGGGATCTAGTATTTCTGGACATTACACGTAATGAATTTGATGGTGTTCTTCCACATTCCATCGGAAATCTTTCTCTCAATCTTTATCTTTTTGGTGCAGCTCAAAACAACATAGAAGGAGAAATTCCTAGAACTCTAGGCAACTTAAGTAGCCTTGTTTTTCTCGATCTTAGTGTAAACGAGCTAGTCGGGAAAATACCACTTGATATTGCAAAGCTAGAGAAGCTTCAGTCTATGTCTCTAGGTAGTAATAAAATCGGTGGACCGGTACCATCAAAGCTTAATTCAATGAGGAGCCTAGGATCACTGCTCCTCGAAGAGAACAAACTCATTGGGCCTATACCAGATTCTATAGGCAACATCAGCCGGCTACAACACTTGTCGCTTTCTTCCAACCGATTGTCATCAACCATTCCCATGAACTTGTGGAACTCAGGAAATTTAATCGAGCTCAGACTTTCACGAAATTCCTTCCATGGAGAACTTCCTCCCCAAGTGAGAAACTTGAAGGCCCTCGATGTTTTGGATCTATCAGTGAATAAGTTTTCTGGAAATATTCCTACTGTGCTTGGTCATCTTGTGATGCTTGCACATCTTGATTTTTCTCGGAACTCATTTCAAGGTGAAATTCCACCATCTCTTGGTTCCCTGGTTAATGTCAAATATCTCAATCTGTCTCACAATTTTCTATCGGGTTCCATATCCAAGTCTATAGCAAATATTCCTCAGCTTGGCAGCCTAGACCTTTCCTTCAACAAATTAGAAGGACAAATTAATTTGTAGAGTTAGCGAAAAATTCGAAGAAGAGAATCTGAGAAGGCTTCTGGAGATTTGGCGGTCGACCGCACATGGTGCTGCGGTCGACCGCACCAGAGCCAGAAACATAGTTCGGCTCTGGACTTCATTGTCACTGCGGTCGACCGCCTATCGGGTTTTGGGTCTGGGTTAGTTTCCAGACCCGGTTTTCTTGTGAGTTGTATATAAACCCCAAACTCGATTTTAGGGTTAAGCTTTGGAGGTTTTGAGCTGCTGAAGGGGATTTTCTAGGGCTTCTTTTTGTTGGAGTCTATTGGAGAGATCAAGTGATCTTGTTTGAGAGTTTTGGGTAAGATTTGTAACCCTAACTTGTATTCCCCTTGATTTCTATTAGTGAAACTCCCCCCTCCTTGCCCCGTGGACGTAGGCACATTGCTGAACCACGTATATCTTGTGTTCTTGCTGTTATTGGTTGGCTTGTGTTCATTTGTGGTCTACTATTGTTCTTGTGTGTGCTATTGTATTATCGATTTGGGCTTCCGCGGCGCACAACAAGTGGTATCAGAGCTCCGGGTTGGATTTGGGAGTTTTTTGTTCAAAGGATTCACTGTTGGATTCTTGTTTGAAGAGTAGATCTACAATATGATTGAAACAAGCAGGGTTAGTTCAAGTGCTACTAGTACATCGGGGTCGGTTTTGACAAAGGCGATCCAAAATTTGAGCATCAACAACACTAAAATTGATGTTCCAAAGTTCGACGGCAAGATTAACTTTGGTTTATGGAGGTGTCAAGTAATGGACGCCTTAGATGCACAAAATTTGGAGGAGACTCTTGAGTTTTAAGAGAAACCCGAGGAGATTGATGATATAGGTTGGAAGAAAATGCACAGTAGGGCTTGTGGGGTTATTCGGTCATGCCTAACGCCGAATCTCATTTATGATGTGATGAACGAGACGTCGGCAAAGAGATTGTGGGAAACGCTCAATGAAAAATATTTGACGAAGAGCATTGAGAATCGGCTTCACTTGAAGAAAAGGTTCTTCCAATTCAAGATGAAGAGGGGAGTTTTCATTCGGGAGCATGTTAACAACTTCACAAAGCTAATTTCGGATATGGCCAATGTAGATATCATGATGGAGGATGAAGACAAGGCGATGTTATTATTGTGTTCGTTGCCGGATTATGAGTTTAGTACTTTTGTTCTCACTATGATAAATGGGCGAACTACAGTTAGCTACAAGGAGGTGACCTCAATGGGCGAACTACAGTTAGCTACAAGGAGGTGACCTCGGCATTGGTGAATTATGAGCTGAGGAAGAATAATTGTGAGCCCTCCGAGAAGGCATCGGGTGGTGACCTCGGCATTGGTGAATTATGAGCTGAGGAAGAATAATTGTGAGCCCTCCGAGAAGGCATCGGGTAATGCATTAGTAGTTCGTGGCCGTAGTCCAAACCGTCAAAGGTTCAACTGCTCAAAATCAAAGAATAGGGGTGGCCATAAAAGTGTTGGTAGAAATCAATGTGTCTTTTGCAAAGAAAAGGGACATTGGAAGAATGAATGCCCAAAGTTGAAGGATAGAGCCGAGAAACAAAAGGGGAAAGCTGTACAAGCTTCAGAGGTGAATGTTGGTTGTTGGCGACACTTCAGATTCGGATTCTTCCGGTTATTCTTATCCCGCACTGCCGTCAGTTTGTTATGCCGACTCTACGGAGTGGATGCTTGATTCGGGAGCTATATTTCACATTTGCCCTAAGAGGGATTGGTTTACCAACTTTAAGGAGTTGAAGAGAGGGGACGTTGTGCTCATGGGGAACGATCACGTTTGTCCTATTAGTAGGATTGGCTCAGTCAGAACCAGAATACATGACGAGGTGACTAGGGAATTGAAAGAAGTGAGGTTCGTGCCGCAATTGACGAAGAACCTTATTTCTCTTAGGACTTTGGAGGCATCCGGCTATAGAGTGATCTTAGAATATGCTAGTTTGAAGGTCATAAAGAGGTCCATGGTGGTGATGCGAGGTGTCAGGGAAAACAACCTATACTACTTGAAGGGCAAGACAGTTACAGGGGGTCTGGCTGCTTCTATCACCACAGAGGAGGATACTACCACACTATGGCACATGAGGCTTGGACACACAGGTGATAAGTCCCTACAGTCATTGGCAAAACAGGAGCTATTGAAAGGTGCAAAGACCTGCAAGATGGAGCTGTGTGAGCATTGCATACTTGGGAAGAAGACTAAAGTGAAGTTCGACAGCGCTATTCACAAAACCCAAGGTATATTAGATTATATTCACACGGATGTTTAGGGTCCTTCCAAGCACACATCGCTTGGTGGGGTAAATTATTTTATCACTTTCATTGATAATTATTCCAGGAGGAATTGGGTATATATCATGAAGCATAAACATGAGGTCCTGAATATATTTGTGGAGTGGAAGAAAAAAGTGGAGCTGCAGACAGGTAGAAAGGTGAAGACTCTTCGTTCAGACAACGGAGGAGAGTATAAGAGTGATCCATTTTTGCAGTTTTGTCGGGATCACGGCATTAAAAGACATTTCACAGTTAGAGAGACACCGTAACAGAATGGGGGTGGCAGAGAGGCTGAACCGTACCTTGCTGGAGAAGGTACGATGTATGATGACGCAGAGTGGATTGGCTAGATCCTTTTGGGCCGAGACGTTAGTTTATGCGAGCCATCTCGTTAACAGGTTGCCGTGCACTGCGATAGAGGGGAAGACTCCTATGGAGCATTGGTCTGGTTATGTGGCTAGTGATTATGATACTCTTCGGATATTTGGGTGTCCAGCTTATTTTCATGTTAGTGATGGGAAGTTGAATCCGAGAGCGAGAAAGGCTATCTTTGTGAGATTTAGAGAAGGTGTCAAAGACTTCAAATTATGGGATCCACAAGACAAGAAGATGTTCGTTAGCAGAGATGTCACATTTGATGAGGCGTACATGATGAAGCCTCGAGTTCCTCAGCAGGTGGAGGAAGATCAGACAAGAGGGATATCACAACAGGTGGAGGATGATGCGACTCCACCCACTCCAGTCAGCACTGTATCCATTGAGACTCCTACAGAGGTGGCACTGGAAGGAGTTGAGATGACAGTCTGGCATTTGGAGGATACAGTGGATGGTGAGACTCAGGAGCAGGGACATGCTCAAGGGTCCATTGCAGTAGATAGACCGAAGAGAGAGATTCGTCGGCCAGCTAGATACGATGATGTCATGGTGGCATATGCTTTATCTGTGGAGGTCGTTCGTCGGCCAGCTAGATACGATGATGTCATGGTGGCATATGCTTTATCTGTGGAGGTCGTTGATGATTTGATTCCTGCCACATTCAGAGAGGCAAAGTCTAGTCCTGATTCCATTAGGTGGAGGAATGCTATGGAGGAGGAGATGCAATCTCTTCAGAAGAACGACACTTGGGAACTTGCACAACTACCTAAGGGTAATAAAGCTATTGGTTGCAAGTGGGTGTATACTAAGAAGGAGGGATCTTCTATTAGGGACATTTGGTTTAAGGTCAGATTGGTTGCCAAAGGATATGCACAGCTTGAGGGCGTTGATTATAACGAGGTGTTTTCACCTGTTGTGAAGCATTCGTCGATTCGGATACTATTAGTATTGGTGGCACAGCTGGACTTAGATTTGGTCCAAATGGACGTGAAGACGACCTTTCTACATGGAGACTTCAGGAAGAGAAGATTTGGTGTGCAAATTGAAGAAATCTCTTTATGGACTGAAGCAATCACCGCGACAGTGGTACAAGAGATTTGATAGCTTTATGATTGGCCGAGGGTACACGAGGAGCCCTTATGACCCGTGTGTTTATATGCGCAAGCTACAGGATGGTGAGCATATTTATTTGTTATTGTATGTTGATGATATGCTCATAGCTTCCAGGAACACTTCAGCTATTGGGAAATTGAAAAAGGAGCTGTCATCTGAATTTGAGATGAAGAACCTGGGAGAGGCTAAGAAGATACTGGGTATGGAGATTGAGAGAGGCAGAGTGAAGGGGAGATTGAAGCTTACACAGAGGAGTTACTTGCAGAAGATGCTGAAGAAATTTAGTTTTGAGGGTGATACCAAGGTGGTGAGTACTCCATTAGCTCCCCACTTTAAGCTTTCAGCCTTGATGTCACCAGTTTCAGTGGAGGATAGGGACTATATGTCCAAAGTTCCGTATGCCAGTGCAGTGGGTAGCTTGATGTATGCTATGGTGTGTACGAGGCCAGATTTGTCACAGGCAGTGAGCATGGTATCTAGGTACATGCATAAACCCGGGAAGGAGCGTTGGGAGATCGTGAAGTGGATTCTATGATATATTAAGGGTACCGTGGATGTTGGGTTGATATTTGCGAAGAATGATGAGACAGGGCATGATTGTATTGGCTATGTGGATTCAGACTATGCCGGAGATCTTGACAAGCGTCGGTCCACTACAGGTTATTTGTTGGATGATTTGGGGATTGCACAGGAGACCATTCAGGTACATTGTGATAGTATGTCAGCTATCTATTTGGCGAGGAACCAAGTCTACCATGCACGCACGAAGCACATTGATGTCAGATTTCACTTTGTACGTGACGTATTGGATGATGGTGATGTCACGTTGGTGAAGGTCCACACTAAGGACAACCCTGCTGATATGTTGACCAAAGTTGTACCAGGTGTGAAGTTTGGTCATTGTTTTAACTTATTGAATATTCTTTATTGTTGAGACCGTTGGCAGCAATTTGGATGAACTACGTTCGACTTGATTTCTTGGGTAAGAGGATACGTAGGCAGTCTTGCAGATGCAGCCTGTTGAAGTTGATTGGGGGTGTTTTGGTGTCGACTCAGTTTTGACAAAAACGTTTGCCGAGGTGAAGATTTGTAGAGTTGGCGAAAAATTCGAAGAAGAGAATCTGAGAAGGCTTCTGGAGATTTGGCGGTCGACCGCACATGGTGCTGCGATCGACCGCACCAAACCCGTTTTCTACTACGGAGGCGGAATATATGGCGGTGACTGAAGCAGTGAAGGAGGCTTTGTGGCTACATGGCTTGTTGGATGATTTGGGGATTGCACAGGAAACCATTCAGGTACATTGTGATAGTATGTCAGCTATCTATTTGGCGAAGAACCAAGTCTACCATGCACGCACGAAGCACATTGATGTCAGATTTCACTTTGTACGTGACGTATTGGATGATGGTGATGTCACGTTGGTGAAGGTCCACACTAAGGACAACCCTGCTGATATGTTGACCAAAGTTGTACCAGGTGTGAAGTTTGGTCATTGTTTTAACTTATTGAATATTCTTTATTGTTGAGACCGTTGGCAGCAATTTGGATGAACTACGTTCGACTTGATTTCTTGGGTAAGAGGATACGTAGGCAGTCTTGCAGATGCAGCCTGTTGAAGTTGATTGGGGGTGTTTTGGTGTCGACTCAGTTTTGACAAAAACGTTTGCCGAGGTGAAGATTTGTAGAGTTGGCGAAAAATTCGAAGAAGAGAATCTGAGAAGGCTTCTGGAGATTTGGCGGTCGACCGCACATGGTGCTGCGGTCGACCACACCAGAGCCAGAAACATAGTTCGGCTCTGGACTTTTGGCGGTCGACCGCAGCACTATGTGCGGTCGACCGCGATCGAGCCCAGGGCTTTCCTTGGTCTCTGGACAATTTGCGGTCGACCGACATTGTCACCGCGGTCGACCGCCTATCGGGTTTTGGGTCTGGGTTAGTTTCCAGATTCGGTTTTCTTGTGAGTTGTATATAAACCCCAAACTCGATTTTAGGGTTAAGCTTTGGAGGTTTTGAGCTGCTGAAGGGGATTTTCTAAGGCTTCTTTTTGTTGGAGTCTATTGGAGAGGTCAAGTGATCTTGTTTGAGGGTTTTGGGTAAGATTTGTAACCCTAACTTGTATTCCCCTTGATTTCTATTAGTGAAACTCCCCACTCCTTGCCCCGTGGACATAGGCACATTGCCAAACCACGTATATCTTGTGTTCTTGCTGTTATTGGTTGGCTTGTGTTCATTTGTGGTCTACTATTGTTCTTGTGTGTGCTATTGTATTGTCGATTTGGGCTTTCGCGGCGCACAACATCATCATCACCATCCGCATCCCGTGCTCCATTGTGACCTGAAGCCAAGCAATATCTTGTTGGATGAAGAAATGACGGCACATCTTGGTGACTTTGGCATCGCGAAATTGCTGCTTGGTGATAGGTCTATAGTATCGGCCAGCATGGCAGGCACCATAGGCTATATTGCTCCAGGTACCAAAAGGACTAAATGATAACTTCTAACTGTATTTTTTTCTTTTTTTTTTCTCACATATGATTGCTTGGTCTAGCTGATTAAATGAAAATAATGTTTGTAACAGCATATGGCTCTATGGGAACAGTCTCCAAAATGGGTGATGTCTATAGCTTGGGAATCCTTTTGTTGGAAATAATCACTGGAAAAAAGCCGACTGACCCACTGTTCAATGGAGAATCAAGTTTGAGAGAGTGGATACATGAAGCATACCCGGCTTCATTGTTGGATGTTGTGGATCAAAGTCTTTTAAAAGACGATCTTAATGCTGAGCAACGATCAGAAGTATCTGCCATAAGCAAATGTCTGTCATCTATTATTGAGTTGGGTTTGAATTGTTCAGCTTCATCGCCTATGGAAAGAATTCCGATGACAACTGTGGTTCCCAAACTGCAGAAGATAAAACGGGAATACATGTCACAACTCCCCTCCTCAAATGTGTATATAAGATATGTATCTCTGGAGCACTAATGAATACTTGCCTGATGCCTGTTGCCTGTTGTGATTATCCAAGGTTTACTTCATGGCCCTTTAGTGAATACTTGCATATAGTGACATGTTGGAGGGTCTCTGTGAGCTATTTCTTGTACATCGTAATACTGTTCAGGATGCTTATAAAGTTTGTAAGAAATAGGAGAAATATATTCATCTCCAACCAGTAATTGTCGTAGTTACCATTTGGTTTCCTTTAAACTTTTGCCATTTGCATGTTCTGTTTAATGATTTCTTATATAATGAGGCTGTTTAATTATTTCTTTTCTATTGTAATTTAGCCATTTTAATTTCTTGGTAATAAAAGGGGTTGTTGTATCTCTCTTTTTTTTTTTTTTTGTCTTCAGTAACCTATACCTTGAATGACTTGTATCAGAGAGTATCTGAAGATTATATACTGACTAGTGCTTGGCATACTTTAGTTCTTCCTAAAGACCTCGCAATCTCTTGACATTGCAAATTAAAAGTTTTACTGTGGTGTGTTACACTTTAATTTTGTCATTCAAATAGTTAACATGCTTAAGCATTTGCAAAAAAGTAATTTCTATTATTATGATGCAAATTTTTGGGGTATTTCTAGTTTGATATTGAATCATGTCTAATGTACCTCACGGCCTCACATCTCAAGGAAAGATAATAAAACACTGCCTAGCTACTAAATTGCCCTTAGTATTGTGTAAATGTTTTTCTTTTTTTTTTCTTCTTTTTCAGTTTTTGGCAAAGTGTGTAAATCATATATTTCTCTATTAAGACATTGGCATGAAATAAACTCACATTTATAGCATTTAAGGTTTATTTCACATGCATTTCCCTTGGCAAAGAGCAGGCCTAGATGCAACTGAATTTTGTTTAAAAAAAAATTACGTTGCTGAAGTCACAGGTTTTCGATTCAACATCAACTGATACCTGAATCCCTGGGAAAGAGAAGTTTGGGCTTCTTTAGTGTGAAAGCACTCGCTTGCTTGTGAGGAGAAGCAAAGAGACGCCATAATTCGTAGCTTCATTGTAAATAAAATAATAATGGACTAATGTATCCGTAATTTGACTTGATAATATGGTGATTAGCTTTCCAAACTCAACTTTTAAGGTTGAACAAGTCAATGTTCCTATATTTGGCTATAAAAAGTGACTAAATTGTAATCCACAAGGAACACGGTCCACGGATCCTCTCTAATTAGGTGGTAATTGGAGAGTGTTCAATTATCCCGATCATTACCCTCTACTCCGGTTTCAAGGGACTAGATAATATCACATAGGATTACCAGTTTACCACCATTGACTTGAAAATCACTATTGTCTTAAAAATCATCATTACGAGAACTACCATAACAATATTGAAATTCGTACGTCGCATAATCTTGGTAAGAATTCAAATAATTGAATACTCTCTAATTACCACATAATTGGAGATGAACCAAATCCAAAAATAAGAGGCAACCCCTTAATCAGTTGCTTACTTGTTAAAAAGATATCGTGACAATACTTAATATTTACTTAAACAGCAAACTGAGTAGTATAACTAGGATGTCCTCTCAAAACGTCAAATTTGAGGGAATGTTCCCCTCAAATCCGATGTAAGTTAATTTGACGGACCAATTTGCAAGACCACTTAGGACTTGATGGAGGTATTAACAATTTCAAAGTTCTGAGGGACTAATATGGAATTATTAAAGATACGAGGTTCTAATACCGTAATAAATCCTTTTCAGATATCGTCGTAAAATTTTGGTCGTTTTCGCGTAACTCTTCAACCATGTCCCCGAAACCCTGAGCTTAAACCCCTCTAAAACCCTAGTCTCTCTCAATGCCCCTCCAATGTCTATCTCTGGAATGATTAAAGGGATTCAGTCTGCCCTCAAAGGCGACGACTTTCGATGTTTCTGCTGATAGAAGATGTTTATTCTCGCCTGAGAGCCGTTCGACGAAATGATTAAGAGAGAGTTTGCTTGGTAAATTGCTTGTACATCACTTGCACGTCACTAATTTTCCAATCACTTGTTAAATTCGTGCATTTCCATGGCAAGTTTATTGATTTTTCTGGAGCTTTATTCACTATTTTCAGCTTTAATGTGCTTCCCTTTACAGATGCAGTTTCTTTAAAGTTTCGATTAACATTTATCTTAATGGAAAACTGGAAAAATGAACTAAGGCTGCGTTTGGGAACTAAGATTTGGATTTGGAAGCTTGATTTAAAATCAAGGGATTTCAAATCTAGGATTTGAAATCCATGATTTGATAAAATCATTTGTTTGGATGTCATTACTAAATGCTAGGATTTGAAATCAAAGATTTAAAATCTAATGTTTGGATGTATTTTATTATTCATGAATTTGGATTTGAAGTGATTCAAAATCAAAATGTGATCTCTTCCGAAGCAATTATAAATACACATGCAAACATCTTATCTTTCATGAACCAATAAAAGAGAATACAAAAATAATAATGATGTCAAAATATTCATTATTATGACATTTTTTCATGGTTTCATCCAATATTAGATCGACCTTCGATCTCCAAAGAACAAAAATATTACTCCAATAACTAGTCATGATAAAAAGGCTGAAGACACAAAAGAGTTTCACAAAAGATCCTCATAAGAAACTCTAGGCTACACAATAAGCCTTCATTTAAAATACAACATGCTATAGATAGCTGATAATCATGATTTGCTACAACAAGTCAAATTACCACAACATAAACTATTAAAAGACACCATATCTAGAATCCTCTATTTATCCTTCAAGTCTTCTCCTCCTTTCTCTCCAATGTGTCTAACTTCATATCTCGAAGAATTTATTGAGTCCTACATTACACAATTTAGCATCAATTAGTCCATGACACAAAAAATCAAACTTTAAAGTTGAATCATGAAGACCATCAACCTTTAAAAAAAGAAAAAGAAAACAAGTACATGATTGCATACTTTCTGTATTCTGATGGAGGCACTAGTTTTCACAACAAGGAGACCATGACAATTGTTGATGTTAGAATATCAAGGACAGAACTTAGGAAGAAGGTGACAAAACCAACCTGAGAAATTAAATATATGCACCTGTTAGAACATCATGTGGCAGAAAGGTGTAAGTCAATTAAATAAAAATGATCTACGCGGTGCATGGATATTATTTATGTTTTCATCTTACTCAAAAGCATAAATTAGTGAAGATTTATTGTGTTTTGTGGAAATGAATGATGTTGTTTACTGCTGGGGGTAAGCCTATATTTTCAATACTATATTCCCAACATATCATTATCACCACCATTGCTTATCAAAGGGGTTTTGGCAACCAGGTTCAAAGGTCTATGGAAGAATTAACAAAGTTGACATCAATCGTCTACATCAACACCAAATTGGTGGCCTAGGATCTTGATTTGGATATTGATTTCTCTGATTAAGAATAAACTGGAAACAGGGATATTTATATTCGCCACTGATCAAGACACAAATATGCTATGACGGTCCATAATAGTAATCTGTTTGCTTGCTAAAATATGATACTGAACTCAAAAAAGGAAATACTAAACAGAATTATAGCTAATAATCTATCATCATTTCCTTTAAATTGCAAACAGTTTATCTTTCCAATGAGCTATCTGTAATTGTGGTGTTGACAAATGTACACTAGAAATTTATGAAATCTTCGACCCAATCATGCAACAAAGCACCTACATTTAATGATTTATACTTTACACAAACATAGATCCCATGTGATGCATGCGGGTGTCTGTTCGTTAACACTAGTTTTGTCGCGTGAACTTAAGGGTTCATATTTTAGGTCCACTGTACCACTCTCTCCCCACTTTGAGAAGTAATCCTGGAATGAGAGTAATGAACAGATTGAGCATAGATAATGAATTTCAGAAAACTTGAGCAAGAATGTCAAAAAGGACAGTCACATAAAAAGGTTATCAGTGCTACAAAGATGTCCATATAAATGTTTACATAAAAGCATAACTAATTTGATTTGTGACACCTTGAAATCAGAACATACAGTAAGTTCTTCTAGTACAAGGTGATGTGTCTTGAACTTGTGAACTTCTCTTTAAACGCTTACTAACTATCCTTGTGTTCCTCTTTGTGTTTGTGTAGTGCCATAGCACTAAAGAAAAACAAATAGGGACACAGGAACATGAGGAGAGTTAATAAGCATTTATCAATGTTCCTCATCTTCCTCATTTATACAATAACCTTCTTTAACCGAAATATTGCAAATATCAGTGCTTGTAAAACACTTGGTCGTGGTTGGCATGTCTGGCTGTGGATGAGAAGATTTTTCTTTTATTTTTTCAGGCAGTAAAGTAATTGGTTTTAGTAGTGTGTATTTGTAACCATCAACAAGAATGCTTCTCCTCCAGCTTTGGTTTTTATCAGAGGAAGAACATTGAATATAAAAACAAGTCATGCTTCCACCTCTACTTAGTCTCGCAGTCATTTGGCATATGTCATAACCTCCCTAGAGCTTCAAATTACAATCAATCCAAAATTCTGTTTCACTAAAAACGAAGAGTGAACAGAAACTAAGAGAAATGAAACAAGAAAAATGTTGGGAAAATGAGAAGATAACCAATAAGCCAAAATCTTATAGAATTATTAAAAACAGACCGCACATATCATTAAATTTTCATACTTTGAATCCAAATATCAATTATTTATTAGCACCTTCGTATCTTAAGTAATAACAAAACATACAAGACCTTCAAATAATTGAACAAACATACTGCACAGAACTTTTTGTTTGACAGTGCTAGATCCAATAGTTCCTAAATCACAGTTTGATAAGGGATTCCAAGAATTATGATCAGCTAGACTGCAACCTAGATTTGGTACACCGTAACAAGTTGCACACAAAAGAAATAGAAGAAAAAGTTTAGAAACCAAAGTAATATCTTTCAAACATTCTATCTTACTTGTGTTCTCAAATTGACCATCTCAAATTGACCATCTCGAGGACTGAGAAATGAGAGAGAGGAGGAGTCCGATCGGGATTTGGAAAATACCAGGGGCAAGGTGGAATTTGAAATACGCGTATTTGGGCTTCTAAATTCTCCTCTTCAAAATAACTTGATTTCAAATCTCAGCCCAACTTAGAGCCCAAACAAGAAATTTGGATTTGAAATACCCTGGATTTTAAATCCCAAATCCAAGTTCCCAAACGCAGTCTAATGCCATTTTCATTTCCAATGCGTTGTCCTTGAATATTATGTTGAAATCTTTGTTTTCTGGGAGGGATTGGTTTCAATGGGAATCTTTTACCTGGATAATATAATAGGTGTCTTGTCGTCTGCAAGTATAGGGTCATCAAGGATATAAAATTTTTCAGTTAGAGTATATTTCAGTACCCAAAAACATTATTGGATCAAACATTTAAAATGAGTATACATACAGTCGAATGTCCAAAATTTAATATGGAATGATTAAAGAAAAGGTCCATCTCGAGGCACTTAGGAAGGTTTACTTGTCTACAAATAATTTCAATGTCATATTCTCATCTTCTGTCAACTACGTGTGCAACGTTATAAATTAACTGCATACCGCCAGCTTTGGTTCACAAAGCACATAGAAACTCCCTGTACAAACCTTATATTTCTCTTTTGACGATAATTTTATTCACGGAGTTGCTTCCCTTATTCCTTCTGTACGTGAAGATCCTTCAAATTTTCACCATCTCTTTATCTCATAATGCAACATCAAGGACATTCCCCAGCTTCACTGATGTCGAATCTCTGTTGTCCTTCAAAGCTCAAATCGATGATCCGTATGGCATGTTAGCCACTAACTGGACCACCAACACCTCCTTCTGCACCTGGTCCGGAGTTTCTTGCAGCCATCGTCATCAACGAGTCACTTCCGTCAAACTCTGAGATTTTCGCCTTCAGGTGCTGTCTCTTCTCACCTTGGCAACCTCTCTTTCCTCTCAGAGCTCAACCTTGCAAACTACAGCCTTAGAGGCTCCATACCTCGATCCCTTGCTCAGTAACCACGTCTGAAGAGGCTCATTCTCAAACATATCTTTCTATCTGGTCCTATTCCTATCAGTATCTTCAACATGTCTTCATTGGTCTTGTTATCTCTCATTTATCTTTCTATCTGGTCCTATTCCTATCAGTATCTTCAACATGTCTTCATTGGTCTTGTTATCTCTCATTTATAACAATCTCACTGGCACTCTGCCATCAAATCTTCAACATGTCTTCATTGGTCTTGTTATCTCTCATTTATAACAATCTCACTGGCACTCTGCCATCAAGCAAAAGCTTTATCATGCTTTCTCATCTTGAATTTCTCTCTCTCAGATAATCAGTAGACAGGTGAGATTCCATCTGCGTTTGCTGAATCCAGGAGCCTTGAAACATTTTCCTTGTCGTATAATGAGTTTACAGAGACAATACCTGCTGAGTTTGGCCGCTTGTCAAATCTCAGTGTGTTATTTCTTGGAAAAAATCAGCTGACTGGGACCATCCCAAAACTTCTGGGGAATCTCACAAAGCTAACCGTTCTTGCTCTAGACTACAACAGGTTCGTAGGGGGGAATTCCTCAGGAATTGGGAAATCTAGTCAACCTCGAACAGATCGATCTCTCGTTTAATCAGTTAATGGGTGAGATCCCTTCAAGCTTTGCTCAATGCAAGCGCCTTGAAAATATTTTCTTGGCATCCAATCAGTTAACTGGAGCCATACCTGACAAGCTTGGCACCCTATCGGAGCTTAGACTATTGTCTGTTGGGAATAACAGTCTAACTGGAGAAATACCATCATCTTTTGGAAACCTTACAAATGCGATATTAATTGAGATAAACTTCAACAATATCGAAGGAGTAATTCCCAGTGAGCTTGGGTATCTACCAAATATTGAATATCTAAATCTTTGTCCTAATAGGTTAACTGGTACTTTACCAAACTCCCTTCTGAATGCTTCCACGCTTACTTTTCTCCAAGTTACTTCTAGCAATTTAATGGGACACATTCCCAATTTCCCATTACAATTGGGAAGTCCCTTCCATTACTTACAAGATTATTCATGAGTGACAACCAATTCACTGGAGGAGTCGACTTCATCACATCACATTCCAATTGTAGGGATCTAGAGTTTCTTGATGTTGAACAAAATCAGTTTGATGGCGCACTTCCAAATTCTATAGGAAATCTTTTTGTCGATCTTTATTATTTTTCTGCAGGTCAAAGCAACATAAATGGAGAAAGTCCTACAAGTTTAGGCAATTTGAGTAGCCTTCTTTTCATTGATCTTAGTGTTAACAAACTACTCGGGACAATACCACATGATATTGCGAAGCTGGGGAAGCTTCAGGTTTTGCACCTAGATAGTAACGAAATCAGTGGACTAATACCATCAAATCTTAGTTCATTGAGAGAAGACTTAGGCACACTGTATCTTCAAAAGAACAAACTCATTGGACCTATACTGGATTCTATGAGTAACATCAGCAGATGCAACGCTTGTCACTTTCTTCCAACCAATTATCATCAACCGTTCCCATGAGCTTGTGGAACCTAAGAAATATTATTGAACTGAACCTTTCGAATAGTGTCCTTTATGGACAACTTCCTCCGCGAGTTCAGAACTTAAAGGCTCTTGATGTTTTGGGTCTATCCGTGAATAAGTTGTCAGGTAACTTATCCAATGCTCTTGGTCAGCTTGTTATGATTACACACCTTGATCTTTCTAGCAACTCGTTCCAAGGTGAAATATCACAATCTCTCGGTTCCCTGGTAAATGTCAAATATCTCAATCTGTCTAACAATTTTTTATTGGGTTCCATATCCAAGTCGGTAGGAAACCTTCCTCTTCTCAGTAATCTAGACCCTTCATTCAACAAATTAGAAGGAGAAATTCCTGAAGGCCGAGTTTTCACAAACCACAACATTCCATCTTCGGAGGGGAATATAGCACTTTGTGGTGCTCCTCAACTTGACTTCCCACTTTGTGACACAAATGTTGAAATTTCAACATCAAGGAGAAAACTACATATTCTCAAATATATCCTTGCAGTTGTTGCTTTCGTGATTGTCCTTGCTAGCTTGTGTCTTGTGCTGGTACTCTGTCGTAGGAGGACTGTGAAAGAAAACATAGTTCACACTGACTTTCAAGGTTTGGATGATCGTAGACTGGTTGCATATGATGAGCTTGTTCATGCAACTGACAATTTCAACCAGACCAATCTAAAGGAAAGGGAAGCTTTGGCTCAGTTTACAGAGGATGTCTTGACGATGGATTGGTTGCAGCAGTGAAAATCTTGAACTTGGAAGTTGATGGAGCGCCAAACTCTTTTGAATCAGAATATAAAGGTCTGAGCATGATCCAACACAGGAATCTTATCAAAATCATCAGCACATGTTCCAAACCGAACTTCAAAGCTCTAGCCCTTCAATTCATGCCAAAAGGGAACCTTGATCAATGGTTGTATTATGATGCCCATTATCTTAGTTTACTTCAAAGGTTAAACATATTGGTAGACATATCGTTCGCACTTGAGTATCTCCATCATCACCATCCTCATACTGTCCTCCATTGTGATTTGAAGCCAACCAATGTTTTGCTGGATGAAGAAATGACGGCACATGTGAGTGATTTTGGCATTGTGAAATTGCTGCTGGTCAATAAGTCCGTAGTATCAGCTAGCACACCTGGCACCATAGGTTATATCGCTCCAGGTATAACGCAAAATCTAAATTATAATTTTTGAAAATATTTTTGTTATGATTTGTGTTGGCGCCTGTGGTTAAATCTAGAATAATACGGATATAAAGCAACAAAACTGAAAAGAAACCTGAAGTGCAGTAACTTAAAATTTTCAACTCAGCTGCTGTGCATTTGTAAAACGTTGTGCTTAAAGCAATATTTGGCATACTCCGATGCAAGGATCCCAAGGCCAAAATGTTTTCAGGAACATCAATACAGTATTCTGGTGTGCACCGACCCAGTACTGTCAAGATCTCCTCGATCTATAGGACCTCTCGGTCAAGGCAACGATCTCCTCGATCTATAAGACCTTCTCGGTCCAGGCAATGTTCCTATGAGCACCAGCTATACTTTACAACATATATATCTGTATATATTGGTTATTGTTTTTGGAATGAATTTTTCTTAAGAGTTTGGGGTCTATTTATAGCGTTTAGGAAAATACTATGCACTAATAAAATAATATTATTTTACTATACATGTGGGGCTCACGTCCTAATTTTCTTGTGGTGGGGCCCACCACTTTTTTTATTTTCAACAAAAATTTGACACCTCCCCATTAATTTAGCCGCCCATGTTTTCATTGAGAAAAACAAGTGTGGGACCACTTTTAAAACAAAAATATCTAACAATTCCCCACAATTTTTTTAAACTAGTATCATGTAACGGTGCCGTTGTTTCAATCATTATGTATAAGATAGATATCGTAAGGACTTGAATCCTCTTAGACCAACTGAATAAAAAATTGGTGCATGGTGTTACATAGACTTGAACCAGCACATGTCTAAAAATCCAGCGATCACACAAGATTAAACTTATCTGTGGTAGTTTTCACTTTGAACCACACTTGCATTTGCCTTTACCTTTGCATATTTGTGACCTTGTGCATGTCCTGGTTTCTGCTAGGGTTCTAGGTATCTTTTCACAAGATACCATAGAAGACGATCAAATCTCCACCCATGCATAGGTGAGTTCTTTAGGCATGTTTCCTATTAAACATCCTACATCCGAAATATTTTTAACTCATTAAGGCTTAAGAGCCATCCTTTCTCATGATAAGATTCTAGGTGAAAAGATCAAAGTTTTACCGAAGTAGTTCAGCTAGGTAAGGATAGTACTAGAGAGAGATCAAAAATCAATTAAGTATCTCGTTCCTTACGGAACGCGTTACGCAACCCCTAAACCTTACCTTAGACACCAATTAATCCAAGAAAACTTGAACCCCCCTTAGGATTTTACTTATAAATCTTACTTGACTTTTGAACCATTTATCTTATCATTAGTAGCATAAGCTTTGAACTAATAACTAGATATAAATAGTAAGTATTTATAAGACTCACCAAACTTTGTAAATCTTACTTGAATTTTGAACCAAATATCTTGTCATTAGTAGCATAAGCTTTGAACTAAAAACTTGATATAAATGGTAAGTATTTGTAAGACTTACAAAACTTTGAGACCCATTCCAGCAGACGTCCTTTCAACTATGTCCTTTTTTAGACCTTTAGTCAAAGTATCAGCAACATTCTCTGAAGACCGGACGTCAATCACAGAGATAACTCCTTGACAAATAAGCTCTCTCAAATAGTCATACTTCAGACAAATGGTCCGTTTCTTTCCATTGAACATCAAGTTCGCTGTCACAACACTCGCTGCTTGATTATCACAATAGATAGTAATTACACCTTATAATTCTGCTAATGAAAGGTCTCGGAGAAAATAACTGAGTCATTCAACTTCATCTCCTGCAACACAGAGTGCGAAGAACTCAGATTCCATCGATGACTGTGTAATCATGGTCTGCTTCTTAGACTTTCACGAGACGACAGCTCCACCCATAGTGAAGACAAATCCTCTAGTAGATCTGCACTCATCTGGTTCTAAGCACCAGCTCACATCTGAATAGCCTTCGATTACAGCCGGATATCCAGTGTAGAATAGGCCCAGACCTGACTGTAGTTCTTTTCAAGTATCTTATTAATCTCTGAACAACATCCTAATGAAGTTTTTCAGGATTACTTATGAACCTACTAAGCAATCCTACAGCGAATGCAATGTCTGGTTTTGTGCAGCTCATCACGTACATGAGACTCCTAATGATCTTTGAATATCTCAGCTGCTCTACTGGTCTTCTAGTGTTTGGTCAAAGCTTCTTGTTATAATCGTATGACACTGATAGTTCTGGCAAGTCGTTAAAACCATACTTTCTTAGCATACTCTCGACATAATGAGATTGGGACAATCCAATACCCTTTTTAGAGTATATGATTTTGATTCCGAGAATCACGTCCGTAGTTCCAAGGTCTTTCATGCTGAACTGTGCTGAAAAAAAATTCTTGATAGATATTACTATCTCCAAATCACTCATAATGATGAGCATATCATCCACATAGAGGCAGATGGCCACCACCTTCCTTCAACGACCTTGATGTATAGACACTTATCAGATTCACTGATTTGATACCCATTGTTACGAACAACCCCATCGAACTTCTCATGCCAAAGTTTTGGTGTCTGCTTAAGTCTATATAAAGACTTAACAAGTTTACAAATCTTACTAGCTGGAGCATCAAGTCCTTCTGGTTTCTCCATGTAGCTTTCTTCTGTGAGATCTTCATTGAGAAATACAGTCTTCACATCCATCTGATATATGACGAACCTTTTAATCGTCGCCCATGCGATAAGCACTCTGATGGTAGTGATCCTGCAAACTGGTGCATAAATATCAAAGAAGTCTATACATTTCTAAGAGAATCCTTTCGCCATCCATCTTACTTTGTACTTTTTAATAGTACTATCAAGACTAAGTTTCTTCTTGAAGATCCACTTGCAACTGATAGGCATTGCACATTCAGGTATATTCACCAGCTCCCAAGTATGATTTTGGATCAATGACTCCATCTCATCCTCTATAGCTTTTTTTCACAGAAGTACGTCTGTTGACTACATTGCTTCTTGGAAAGTCTGTGAGTCCCCTTCTACATTACAGGTGATGAAGTCATCTCCAAATATTTCTGTCTCCTGACACGCTTGGATGGTGTTTCAGTAACTTCTTCATCATTAGCACTTTCGATTTCTCACGAAACTGGCTCCTCTTATGCATCTGACGTACTAGCATTCTCTATTATATCTTTGAACAATAAGCCTTTATCTTTGGTAAACTTATCCTCAAAGAATTCTGCATCTCGAGGTTCAATGATAGAGTTGGTTCCAATGTCCAGGAACCTGTAAGCATTGCTATCTTTAGCGAAACCAAGAAACACACATTTGTTAGCCTTTGGTCCGAGCTTAGGCCTTCTGATATCTAGAATTCGAATATATACGAGACACCCCATACTTTGAGATTATCCAAAGGATCTGGATATCCCAACCATAACTGATGAGGAGTATTATCAGTTTTGGAGTAGGATACTTTATTTAGAATCCATTTTACCATCAGCAAAGCCTCTCCCTAA